TCAGATGACTGGAAAAAGAAGTTGTGGTGTAGATACACACAACAGACTACTACTCAGCCATAAAAAACAATGAAATAATGTCATCTGCAGTGACATGGATGGTCCTAGAGATTTCATACCAAGTGAAGTAAGTCACACAAAGACAAATGTCATATGATATCATTTACATGTGGAATTTAAAATATGATACAAATGAACTTATTTACAAAACAGAAATAGGCTCACAGACATAGAAAACAAACTTATGGTTACCAAAAGGGAAAGCTGGGGGAGGGATAAATTAGGAATTTTGGATTAGTAGATACAAACTACTACATACAAAATGGATAAACAAGGAGTCCTACTGTATAGCACAGGGAACTACATTCAATATCTTCTAATAACCTATGATGAAAAAGAATATATATATGAACATATAACGGAATCACTTTGCTGTATACCAGAAACTAACACAACCTTGCAAATCAACTATTACTACAATTAAAAAAAGAGAATAATCTCTTATCAGAAAAAGTGATATGAAAAGCCATAAAGAAATCCTATTTCTAGGAAACCAAGAAGCACAGCTATGCTTCATTATGACTGAAGATGAACCATACTTACTTTAAATATTTAGATAAGGCATCACTTAATTCTTTAGGGATGTAATCTGATATCAGACCATGAGCATAACGAATATAATCCTCTGAAAGAAACAGAGAGTGAAAGAAAAAAAATTAGTAATAATTATGGCAGTTTTACAGTTAAATTGACGAGGGTTCAAGTTCTGGCGCTGTCTAGCCTCAGAGAGTCACTTAAGTTGTTAGTCTCAGTTTTCTCATTTGTGAAATGGGGATGCTCACATCTGTCTGTCAGAGTAGTGGGGTGACGTGACAGCTGAGGTATCACGCAGGATGATACCAAAGACATGATGAGATAATAAAGTACATATATTACAGTAGCTGCTCTCTCAACTATGGTTAGGAATTCAGAGTTCTCTTCTTAGTTGAGGTCCTTGAATACAAATAAATAAAGTTCCAAAATCAGCTGTAACAATATGAAATATTCATGTCTTTTTAAAAGATTCATCTTTTCTGGGTCCATTTCAACATAAAATAAACCTAATTACTGAACAGTAATGAGAACACTTATTTAAGAGAAATAACATGTGATATATCCCTATTAAGTACTTGCATTATAAGAGTCCTGAACACCATATATACTTCCAAACCAATAAAATCCTTAAAAAATGTAAAAAACAAAACTCAGCACAGTGTATATTCATTACTTCTAAAGCATTTGGATTCTCCATATTAAAATGAAGCTCTGGTATCAGTTAAATACAGTTACACAAGAGAAAATTTGTTTTAAAGCCCTGTTCCTTAATTCAGTATTTTTTGTAGAATACTGGGGGTTAATCAAATTTAATAGATGGCATAATCACATGGGAATATAAACCACCAAAAGCAATATCCCAGGTTTGTTGCCGGGATATTCAGTTTCTTCTTTTTTTCCCCTTTCTCTTCTACCTTCAACGCTAGGATAACAATTTGCCTCAGTATTAGTTCGAAAGTGGCTGCTGCCTGGATCACCTGATCTCAAAGAGTCGTCGGTAAGAGATTTTCATTGCCAACATAGAACTGAAAGTTATCACTAGACCCTTCTTAAAAATCTGTTCATGGTTCTGAGTTATTAATTATCCAATGAGTCATGAATAGACAAAGTTATTTTCAGAAAACCAACATCTCATCTGTTTGCTTCTGCTGGTAGCATCTCAAGCTAGAGATCTAAAAAAGGAAAGCGTGTAAAGAGCATAAAGCTTACTTAATGGCTGGGACCCTCAATGGCAATATCGCCAAGCCCAGATCCTTGTATTCAGAGGCTGGTATGAACACTGGATTCAGAGCAGAAGACCTGGCCTGCTAGCTAGGATGGATCATCTTGGATAAGTCATTTACTTCTCTGAGATCCTGGTTTTTCATTTTTAAAATTAGAAGATCTGTCTAAATAACCTCTAACACCCCTTCTACTTTAACAAAAATCTACAGTTTTATCCATCCATACATCTGTCAAACCATTCATTTATCTCTCTGTCTGTCCATCCACCCATCCATCCATCCATCTGAATCAGTCCTTTCTCTTCTGCTGTTAAAGCCCATCAGAGACACTGACATCTGGTAAACTCAGATGTCAAGGGCAAGCCCAACACTTCAGAATGGCAGGAGCCAGCTATCATCTGTATGTGCAAGGTGTTATAAAGCAGATTTCTGCAAATCAAAGACTGACTGAATTAGCATCAATTACCAACAGGTCACTGGTCCTAGTTTTATTTTTATTTTTTAATAAATAAACTCAGATGTTTTAGAGTTGTATACCTAGAACAAGGAACACTGAATTAGAGCCTGAAGTCGGAATCATTTCCACCCTACCATTACAGAACATTAATGGCGTTATATAGCTGCTTTTATTCAACCACATATATAAAAACAAGAGGACACTACACTGGAAAAAGCAAAATAATGTACCGTAATAATCTAAAAGAAAAAATTGCCAAGTGAATAAATTTTCGCCTAAAATCAAAACATTGAGACCTACGGTTGGACCTATGCGTCCTGAGAGTAAGATGCAAATAGATGCAGCTCACAGGAAACCCTTGTGCCAAACGAACATACAACAAAAGGTGATGAGCGCGGGCTTAAGAGTCAGTCAAGCCCTGTTAGCCCCGCTCTGCCAGGTACCAGCTGTGTGACTGCGGACAGTCGGGACTCTCACTGTAAAATGAGGCTTAGAGGGAGGGTCAGATGAGACAATGTGTGCACACTGGCGATAGTAAAAGGCTCGGCACACAACACGCCTGCAATAAATGACAGCCAGAGTTGTTAGTGTTGTTCTTACTATCAGTGCAAAATACATGTTTGTTGAATGAATGATTTAAGTATCAATTAGTGATAGGAATGATCTAGGGCAGAAATACAACTTGAGTCTGAAATAAAAGAAGCACCTGCCAGGAGATCTATGAGAACGTATTGGCAAGAATGTGAAGCTTCTGAGACATTCAGATTTTAAATGGTCAGACAGGCATTTACACATCAGCAACTTACTCCAGAAAAAAATAATTTCTGATGAAACGATTTACTTACCTTCCTTGTCACTGGAAACCTGATCACCGGAGAAAAATGCAGTGGACTGCACCCGGGCACTGACATTTATGTTGTTGGTTTTTAATGCTGCCACCGTCTGATTAACCTATGAAATAACCAAAAGCAGAATAACTGTATTTTCAGCTAACTTTAGAAACCCATGACTTTCCAGATGTTCCTCAATCCACTGAATATCCAGGAAGAAGTATTTGAGGACCCAGAAGTACCTTCACCAGACGCCAGAAGATGAGAGATGGTTGCACATTGGAGAAAGGTGAGCAGTAGTGACAGCACTGTGAGCTGAGCTCAATACATGGGCTTTCTGAGGCCTACATGGTGTGAGAGCGCTGACTCTGAAGGCAGGTTGCGTGGGTTTGCTCTGTGACCATAGGCTAGTCCCTTACCCTCTCTGTGCCTCTATCTATGAAATGGGGATCAAGACAGTACCTCACAGGACTGTTGTGAGCATTAAATGAGTTAATATATGTTGAGCCCTTAAAAAAAACATGGTACAAAGCTTACATGTAATGATTTTCTAAACAGAATAAAATAATATGAGTTTCTCACTTCCTAGGAATTTAAGAAAGGAAACACAATAAATGTAAACTTCATGTTATTACCATTTGCTAAGAGAAAAAACTAAATGCCAAAATTCTGCTCTGCATTTATCCTCATTCTTCACCTACATAGAATTCTACTAGTGGAAATACTATTAGTGCAAATGAAAAGAAAAACACAGCCACTTTTCACTGTTTTGTACATAGGAGCCTGATTAATTCTGCAAGGTTCATTTCCATGTTCCCAGGTTTCCAGTGTGCCCAGGAACATGACATGACAAACATGTTTTTCATATACAAGACAGAAGAGAATCTTAGGAATCAGTCTATAACTGGTATCCACTGAACTTGCAAAAACTTTGTCATTAAAAGATATGGTCTGGTGAGATTCTGAATCACTGTGAAAGTTCACAGTATCTTTAGACCAGTGGCTTTTTTGTTTACTATATCCACAGTAAGAAACACACAGCAACCCAATACCCAAAAACATATACAAATATGTTTCACAGAGCCATACTTAATACTTGTCCTTATTCTGTGCTATCTTTAAGTATATCCTATCCTGTCCTATCCCATTCCATGAGAATTACTAGTTGTGATCTACTAAATTGACTTGAAAAACACTGCCCATGCCCTTATATTAGGTCTAATTCTTAGGATCACTAAGATACAGGGTTTCCCTGAAAGATGACCCCCAGACACTGAGAGGGGTCACACTTCCTCTTGGCCTGAATCCCGTCGGCCTGGTCCCCTGGCAGGTCGTGTGTGAGCAGCATCAACCTGTGAGACGCTTGCAGGGCTGACAGCAGCAAAGGCACGTAGCCCTAGGATGAGCCGGCTTGGAAGGCTCAAATCTTCACCAGCAAATAGCCAGAACCTCTTCACTCAGTGGTGAGGGTAGTGGGGAAGTGAGAATGCAGGTCAAAGGAATACATCAAGCTAAGTCCAGAGAGACATGAGTTAGGGAGAATGAAAAGTCCTTCTCACACTTGGTGGTCTTTGTTACAGCTTCTCTCTTGTAGTTGGATGTACAAGATGGTGTTTGGGTTCAGACTTATCACCTTCTCTAAAGATGTTTAAAAAGGAGCATTAAACTCTGTCTGCCACAAGGCACTAGAGAGGTACTGTACCTTTTTTTCCAGCCATTTTAATGTCTTCTCTTTGCTGTACTTGTAATATTTCTTTTTGTCTATTTCTGTATTAAAATTAAAAAATGCAGTGGATTAAACAAAAAATAGACTCATAACATTATATCATACACAAGATAACAATTTAAAAATATTTTATAATATTTGATATTCTTGAAAAACTCAATTTATAACCCTGAAAACATACTTGAGACATTAAAAGTCTCTAAACAGAACTGGGGTACCCCAGGTTTCATCCAACTATTACATGAGTAAAATTTAAGAAAATTATCAAATTATACAGTAGCTCTCAACACAAGGAAAATTTTTTTATCTTCCTTTTATTGTATCTATATGATACGGTGGATGTTAACTAAACCTACTTGAGACAATCATTTCACAATATATGTAAATCAAACCATCATGCTGTACAAATGAAACCTACACAGTGATGTATGTCAATTATTTCTCAGTAAGACTGAAAACAATTATAAAAATAAATCTGGAGGAAAGGTAATCTTTTAATTGAAGTGTAATTGACATATAATATCATATTAGTTTCAGGCGTGCAGCATAGTGATTTGATATTCATGTACATTCTGAAATGGTCACCACAATAAGTCTAGTTATGCCTGAAAAGGTAATTTTTAAAACTCAGCCGATTAACATAGCAAGCGACCTTCATTTTTCTGAGTAACTTTAAGCTCACCTCAATTTTCAATGAAAGACTTCTTTTCTAAATAAAAAAGGAAATCTCAAGAAAGAAAACTGAAGCTAAATGCAGATGCCTATGAAGTTACTGCATACATTCAGGAAAAGAATCTTGTTAACTACTTAGTACTGTTCTGGTGGGATTACTGGAGAAAGAAGAAAAGATCTGTCTATCTTTTAATGTATTACCAGTATATCCATAGCTATTTCAGGGGAATTTAGATTTATGATAGGCTCAATTTATGGGGATAAAAGTTTCATCTCTTATAAATTATACTTCCTCTCCTCACAATCCAGCTAACTTTATATACATTATATATTGTATATATATACACACACGCACATATAAATAACAGCTTAATGTCATATGTGGTCTATGACATTAAGCCATTATTTCCTTGGTAACACTTCATTCATGGGGTTTCCTGCTTTCTGTGCAATCAGCAGAGGCAGCACTTCCACTCCCAGCCTCCTGCCTCCATGCAGGAGTTATTTCTGTGACCCCTGGAATTCCCACGGCCAGATGCAAACTCGCCACATGTGACTCTGCTGGAGTTACACAGGACGATGCTTTCTCTTTCCTCCGTAATCATGGTGGGAAACGGAAACCGCTTATTGAGGGATCATTTTCTGCAGTCTGTTAAACTGCTTGAGTTTCACTGAAGGTTTGTCTGGGGAGGGGCTGGCCGGGGCTCTCGTACATTTCCTCCCCGTTTCAGCCTGTGGTTGTCAACACTGCGGGCAACAGGAGGCGGATGGAGTTGGGCTGGACCCTTGCACCCATCTCCTCAGGATGTGTCACTGGAATAATGAAAATGAAATAATGAAAATGCAGGAGTTTGAGAATTCGAAGGCACAGTGCCTGCTCTCCTGGAGCCAGGACGGCCTGGAAATCAGCCGTCCAAGGACAGCTAAGGAACCAAGGCACTAGAGACTGGACTCAACCTCTCTGGAGTTGATGTAGTATTTCTTTGCACAAAAATAGAGGAAATTCTAAGAGCATACAGCAATCACTCAATACACGCACACTGCTGAACGAGCCTTAGATGTTCTGATCATTGCCTGGGACAATCTCCACAGCTCAGTGGTCAGGTCTCTCCTAAGAATCCCACCCTGACTCTGCCACTCTCTTTTCTCTTGCCTCTACCTCCAAATTTCCTGAAAGGATGTTCCACAATCTGCCACAGCTTCCCTTTCTCTCGCTCACTCCCTGAACCCCTTGCAGGCCCTTCCTTTTCCTCTTGAAATGGCTCTTTCAGAAGAAGGAGGACTGGGCTCTGAGCCGTACTGCTGGGGCTCCCGCACACCCAGCACACGATGTCACCTCGGGAAGTCACCTATTGAATGATAATGATGCACAACAGCTGGCACACAGCACATACGTAACATTAGTTAAGAAAAAATGAAATGATAACTTGACGCTAACAGTAATATCAGAAACTAGTGTAAATTCAGGCCTATGCTAAATTCTTTATACACATTTCTTCATACACACATTGAATGCTCAGAATGAATCTCAGGTGAAAACTACTATTCGTCCCTGTCTCAAAAGACTAAGGTTTGAGTGAGGGTAAAGAAATTGTTCAAAGCCACGGAGCTGGTGAGCGGGAGCATCCAATCCCTTCTCAAGCTAACTTCAGAGCCATGGGTCTGCTGTTCACTTTGCTGAGATCCATTAGCCCTCACCCTCCTCAGTACATCTGACCCTTTCTTTGTGGGAAAACACTCTACCATGGTTCTGTAAAACCTTTCTCTTGGTCTTTCTAATACCTTTTCCTCTGATTCTTTTCCAGCTCCACTGCACCCTCCGTGGACGCTAACTTGTATCTTTCTCCAGGGGTGACTTCATCCCGTCTCAGCAAGAATAAGCAAACTCATCCAGGAAGCCCTGGGCTGAGGCTCTTCCACCCAAACCACCCTCCTGGTCACTCAGGCTCCAGTCACTCCTGCCTTGCTTCCTACATTCCATCACTGGATTCCACAGGAGACGGGAAGGAGCCAACATTATCTTGCAGGGAACAATGAGAGAGGAAAAAGCAAAAACCAAAACCAAACCAAAACAAACTCAAACAAACCCCAAAACAAAAACGCTGCCTGAAATCAAACGCTTAGCTCCTTGTGCTGGATAAGTAATTACTTCATTATTATTATTTTTTAAAAACAACTTAGGAATGGTGTTCACATGATTAACACATCCATTTGACATGTATCATCTGAGGAGTATGGACAAATGTCTACATACAGTCATGTAACCATCACCGCAAAAAGTGCCCCTGAGCTTGCAGACAACTCTCTCATCCCCGCACAGACCTCAGGTACCACTGATCTGCTGTGACTACAGATTAGTTTTTACTGAATTCTAGAATATCACAGAAATGGAATCAGATGCAGTAAGTAGTTTTTTGTGATGCTCTTCTTTTACTCAACATGGTTTCTGTGAGATGCCTCCATGCTGCTGTTTCTTGCAATAGCTCCTTTCATTGTGCTACGGAGTAGTGCCCTGCGTACTGATACCCCACACACCTACTGAGGGGCATTTAGGTTGTTTCCAGTTTGGGCTATTTTGAAAAAGTTGCTATGAAACTAAAAGGCTGCTCTGAACATTCTTGCAAAATCTTTGAGACACTTATCTTCCGTAAGTCTTGGGTAAACACCTAGGAGTAGAATTACTGTGTCGTAAGAAAGTGCCAAGTGGTTATATACAATTTTATGCTTCCACTAGCCAGGCAGATGAGTTCTAGTGGTTCCATAACTTATTGGTGTTGTCTGTCTGTTTTATTTCAGTGACTCTGATGGATATTAATGATATTTCCTTGTGGTTTTAATTTATATTTCTCTGGTGACTAATGATACTGAACATCTTTTCATGTGCCATATTCATAAATCTTCTTTAGTGAAGTGTCTGTTCAAACATTCTGATTTTTTTTTTTTACTGGGTTGTATCTTATCTTATTTTTGTGTTAAAAGAGTTCTTTATATATTTGGTATATATATCTTTTATCAGATATGTCTTATAAATATTTTCTTCCAACTGTAGCTTAGCTTCTTTCTTTTCTTAATGGTATCTTTCAAAAACCAGAAGATACTAATTTTGATGAAACGTCAACAAAATTTTTTTTTATGGTTAGTGGTTTTTGCGTTCTACGAAATCTTTGCTATCCTTGAGGTCACAAAGTTTTTCTTCTATGTCTTCTCCCAGAAATTCAATAGTTTTCATTTTTGCATTTAAGTTATTGATCCATTTCAAGTTAATTTTTCTGTATGACTCTGAGAAGAGTGTCAAAGGTAATTGTTTTTCATATGGATATCCAATTTTTCCAGGTCATTTGTTGAAAAGATTATTCTTTCTCCCATTGAATTATTCTGACACCACTGGGAAAAAAACAATTGGATATATAAATGTGGGCCCACTTCTGTTCTCTCTATTTTGTTTCATTTATCTATTTATTTATCCTTATACCCATACCATACTTTCTTGATCACTGTAGCTTTACAGTAAGTCTTGAAATCAGGTTGTGTTAAGTTCCCCAATTTTGTTCTTCTTTTTCAAAATTATTTTGGTTATTGCAGGTCCTTTGCATAGTCATATAAATTCTAGAATCAGCTTATCAATTTCTATAAAAAACAAAAAGCCTGATAGGCATTCCATTAAATCTATAGATCACTCTGGAGAGAATGGACATTTTAACAATACTGAGTCTTCCAATTCATGAACATGGTATATATCTCTATTTACTTAATTCTTTAATTTCTCTCTGCAGTGTTTTATAATGTTCAGTGTACTTGTCTTGTATATATTGTTACATTTATCCCTAGAACGTCATGATTTTTTAATATTATAAATGGTATGCTTTTATTCCATTGTCCAATTGTTCACTGCTAATATATAGAAATAAAATTGATTTTTTTTTTATCCTTAAAGTATAGTAGAATTCACCACTGAAGCCAGCTGGGCCTGGAGTTTTTTTTTAGGAAGTTTTTAAATTACAAATTTATTTCTGACTAAACATTCCCTGGACAAGATGATCACTAAGAAATATCCAGCTTGAATATCCCAAAATGCTATACAAGGAACAAGTGCATAAACTACCGCTTAATTTTAAAATTTACACATTTTGATAAGCAAGGTGGTTTACATATTCACAAAGGCCACGGATTACCTACAATTATGAAAAATACCATAACATGTTCAATTGTGCCCTAAATTTAGTATTTGCAAGAGTTTGTGAGTTAGATAATATGTGCACATGCTAGAAAGTTTTCTTTCCCTAATGTGTCTGGTGCCTATAAAACTGGTCTCAAACATCTGGAAAGATTGAGTTTACAAAATAAAGATGGAATAAAAAGGAGTCCACAATTAAATAACATGTTCAGCAATTGGGTAATCAGTTCACAAACTTGAATTTCCCTGATGTATTGTTGAACAAACTGCCTGCAGCACATTTTCACATCTCCTTTCTGAATGTTTTCCACAACTGAGAAATTCATATGGTCCCCCACCACCCCCACCCCCCGCCTCCTGGGGATAGAAACTTGGCAACTGTACTTGGGGTATTTTAATCAGGTAAGTTTTCCCGGCTCTTCCTGTTAATCAAATCGGACAGCGCAGTGCAGCTTTTGCTTGCAATGTGAAACAGAGTGTTACACTCAAGACGAGGTTCATAACCCTTTATTAGTCCTTTCCCTTGTCATCTCTCCACTGAATGGGAGCTTTTTTGGCAAGAAACGTGCTGAGCCCCAGAGCTAGCAAACGGAGACACATCGTTTCCTTCACTAATAAAGCAGGCAGTGCTAACTAACTAAGGTCACCATCATTCAGGATGCGAACAACTGGGGCTGGGTTTATTCAGCAGGGAGAAGGCAGGGGGAAGGTTCTCATAAAGCTAGCAGGCTTAGCCAGATCTTTAATGCCACAGACTTTTGACACAGCATCTGGAATCTAATATCAAAATAGCTGGCTGGGGAATTTGAACATTTCAGGTTTTTGCTCTGTCTGTACAGTGCCTGTGGAGAGGATGAAGTGAAAAAACACCAGCTTCCTTCTTTCTCTTCATTCCCTGGCATGGGTAGTACCTGATCACTCTTCAGCAGTCTTCTATGTTCCTTATTTAAAAAGCCTAGCAATTAAATACAGAGAATAGAACCAAACACTAACTTAAAAAGGGACAAAAATCTAAATTCAAATAAGCAGCCAGGACCCAAGGAAATTGCTAAAAGAGGGTGCCCAGAAAACAGAAAGCTCACAGCCAGGACACGGACCGTCTTTTCCTTCAGCTGCAGAAGCTCCCACTGCCTCCTGTCCTGTCTCTCTCTTTGCCTCGCAAAGGGAAATTATTAAGAGGGGATATACAAGATTTTTTTTTAAAGTAAGTTTTTAATTTTACAGGAGACAACACCTAAAAACTCTAACAGTCTCTTGGAAGTATTACAGACAGACGTAAGAGGAAAGGAAAGAGTTTGCTGTCAGACGGACATGGGTTCAAATCTTGATTCTGCCACTTCAAGTTCTATGATGTTACTCAATGTGCTTAAACTCTTTGAGCCTCAACTCCTTCATGTGTAAAAATTCAGGCTCTAATAACAATGAAAGGGAATTACTGCAAGAATTCAATAACATAGAATAACATGCATAGAAACCATATATAATAATTATCAATATATGGTAGATATTTTTATTATTATCTGATTATCCTCATTCTCCTGCTTAAACCTCTTGAGCATATATTAATCAATGGACCATCAAACAAGTGCGTATTGGTCACTTACTGTGTACCTAGTACTGAAACATCAGCAAAGAATTAAAAATCTCCAACTCCGAAGCCTTCATGGTACTAACGTTTACTGAGCACTTACTCTATAGCCAGCACTCTCTGGGCATTGATTTACTTGTATTATTTCATTTAATTTCTGAAGCATCTCTTGGTGGTGGATCTTAGTTACTTTAGCTGCAATACTTAAATAATGTTCACATGCTGGTCATTTAGAGATCACAACATTCTAAAGCTAAGAGAAGGAAAGCTTTACTTTCTGATTTAGAACAACCTTGCAGAGGACTAATTATAATAGATGGTAGAATATGAGGGATACTCTTAAGCCTTCAAACTCTTCATCTTACAGATCAAGGATGCTAAAAGTTTGAATGATTTGCTAGAAACTATGAAACAAACACAGTTAAAATTTTTCTTGTAGGCCATCAGATCCTGAGATCAGATTACCAAATTGTTCATAAAGAAGTTCTTTCCGTGAAAGAGATATGAAGCAAATATAACAAAATATTAACAGTGGTTGGTTATTGTGGTTGGGAACAAATAATATTTGCAGTTTTTGACTCAGTTTTTCTGTACCTTTAAATTTCTTAATTAAAAAAAAACAGCTTCACCTGCCCATGTACTTTCCTTTTCAAAGCAGATATATTATCGACCTTTATACCTGCTGGGTTTCTAAAAACTCTACGCCTCAAATTTTTTCTTTCTTTCCTTTTCAGTGATAGTAAGGCAGAACGAAGTAACAGGTTACATTACACATGGTAAAAGATGTAAGCAGTTCTTTAGAAGTCTTGGTACTTTCTTTATAATTTAATTTTTCCCCTAATGAGCTACATTCTGTAAATCTTAAAATAATGGAAGATTTAAAAACAAGAAATAATAAGATCTCTCATGCCTCAACCATCAAGAAGGCCTCTTCATCAAAATAGACATAAGCAATTTCACATTACTTGCTTCACCCCTTGACACAGAATGCACATATGTGAAATATTTTTCTTTATGTCAGTTCTGTGTACAAGGACAGCATACTAAGACAGACATCATTTTCCGTGAAGATCCACAGGTAAATGCACGGTATTTTGAAGTTCATAAGTCGTTATTTAGAGCTGGTCAAACAAGACAAGTGTAGGGCATGCACTTTCTATCACAGCAGAACTTGCACAAGTCAGACAACGATGAGAGGTGAAAGAGATTAGGACAGGAGTTCAGATGACGATTCAAACGGTCAGGGGGTCAGTGAGCAAGGAGGAAGGAATGGGAGAGTGGGATGCTCTGGCTTTGAAACCCAGGCTACAAGCAAACAAATGCCAGTGTGGTAATATTATTTCTGAATAGTACTATTTCAGATTCTGAGTTTCTGGGTTTTGGTTTAAGATAACTGTTCTTATACAGTTATTAGAATTTTACATCATGAGTTAATTGCATTTTCAACTTCTGTTAACCTGGCAAAATTAAAATGACTTGTAATTATTCCTCACTGCGTTGGCTTTCAGAAATGGTTATGAGCAACTTCACCTGTCACCCACAAAAAGATTACTGTCCCCTGCTGAGCTCAGAATCAAGGAATGTCTTTAATGGGACTGCTTTGATAAAAACCTGGGCACCACACACCCCTCTGATCCAAAACAGAGCTCTAAATCCGGCCAAGTATGAATTTAGTAGACCCTCCAAATGTGAAATGCAGTGAATGAGGTTACCCCTTTCCCACCATAGCTTACATTTCTTGGAATCATCACTTTCATGGTCGCAGAAGAACTGCCATAGTCGGCCAAACCAGCTCTAACCCAAATAACCACAACTTAGCGTGTTGTTTTGGTTCTTACACTGTTTCCATATTAACCCTGAAACTACCTGGATGATTTTTTGAGACACTGATGCTAAGTCTGTATGGTATTTCTAACCTGTCAAAACATAGTCACACATTGCCTCACTTCCTCCCCTCAGAGTTCAAGTGTATAGGATCTAAAATTCATCTCTGTTACCCCCCGTCTGCCCCTCCCACCCATGTCCCCTGTCTCCAGGAGGCCACCTTGACACATCCTTGGGTCAAGGCACAAACCCAGAAGTCATCGTTGATTTTTCCCCCTCGACCATCGTCCAATCAACACACGAGCTTGCTACTTCCCTCTCCTGAGCTCAGGCAACTCTCCTCTCCCGCCCAGACCACTGCAGCACCTCCATGGACCAGCCTTAGCTTCACACACAACAGCACTGTCCTCTTAAAACTCTGCTGACACTCACTACCATTAGGTCAAGTCCAGACACATATAAGGCCCTTCACCATCTGAACCCCTGCCCAGCACTCTCACCCGTCCTCTCCTTAGAACCGGAATGCATCCCTGAACTTCTTGGAACCTGCTAAGCGTGACAGACTTTTCCATATGCCCACACTGCTGCTCTGACATCCTCCACTTAGGGGTTATTTCCCACAGGAAAGCAACGCACTTCCCACCTACCCGCCCGCCCCACCCCCCACACGTCCCTTACTCCCTACTGTCACTGCCCTATTTGTCATTCACCTCCATCAGAGTCGAAGCAAAGTGAGGGAAAGGATAATTTATAACTATCCCCAGGGCCTGGTTCTTGTGCTCAACATATGCTTCTTAGCAGGTGCTCAATAAATGTTTCCTGAATCAATAAAGGCATAGATTTTATGCAGTTTTACAAATGAGAGACCTGGGGCAGAAAGCAGCAGTGACTTACCTAAAGTCACAGACTAGTTCAGAGAAGAACTGAGACTACAGCCCGAGCCTCATGAACCCAGGCCCTGTAGGAAACAGGCCACCACCCTTCACGGGATGAATTTCGCAGACTGGACAAGCCAGTGCAGTAGGATGACTACTGGCAACTGGGGAGGCGGTGGGGGCAGGGGCAGGGGCGAGCCTGAATGGCAGCTTCCCTGTCTACGACCCACACAGAACCAGCATTGTGTCCTGGGGGCCTGCAAGTGCCAGCATCGCGTCCCAGGGGCCCGCGAGCCGCTGCACTTCCACACAGATGCGCAGCCTTTCCAGCAGCCGCGAGCCTGATTTCAAAGGCCATACACTGTACCTTTTTCCTCTGTCACGTGTCGAAGTAACTTCTCAAGTTCAGGAAGTTTCAGCAACAAGGCGCAATTTGGAAACATGTCGTCCATCACAACTTGATCAAGGGGCTGAAACTTGCCCTGAAAAAGACTTTAGGCAGTCAGGCTGCAGGCACTCCCGTCAACAAACTCATATATTTAAAAAAAAAGAGAGAGAAGACGATATATTACCTCATAGCTGGACCTTTAAACCAAGTTCAAAGCCACTTGTTCCACCTAAGGAACCCCTCACCTGGTACAGGCTTTAAAGCCAACTCCTGGTCCCCTCAGGAAGCTCTTGAAGGCACTGGGGTTCCAACCAGGGCAAGAAATGCCTCAGTTTAAATGTTTCCTTTTTCCTTCGATAGTAAGAATAATTCACAGGTTTCCCAGATCTGACTGTCTTCAGATTTCTACCTTAATCTATATTCTTTCATGATCAACCGGTATGTTAAATATTTAACTACTTTAAAACAATATTCGACTTGTATGTAATAGACTACCACACAGTCATGATACAATAATTTCATAATAAACTGTTTCATTCTTGTTTTCTTTACCATATATACATAAGGTTTTGGAATAAGCAACTTGTTTGAGTAAAAACTTAATAACAGTTGGGATAGCTAGACAGACGTACTGACGTTAAAAGAAAACGAAAGTGTAAAAAAAACAGGTCAACATTTCAAAAGTACATACTAACATTTTTTAAAGTTAAATAGGAAAAGGTCACATCTAAAGTGTATGGTAGGAAATATCTGAATGCCTCAGGGGTTATTTTAAGGGTCACTTCAAGTACTTAAGAGAAAGGTGGTTTAAAATGAATGAGAACCACCGCCTTGAGCTTCATTCTACATCTGTCAACCTGAACCAGCCGTAGCACCCCCACTGCCTCCCAGAGGGCCAGGGTGAGGATAACTCACCTGGTCTTAATGGGAAAGAGGCAAAGCGCCCCCCAGGTTGTGGGAGGGCCTTTAAAGACGCAGGCTGGCTGGTGGCTTCCTCCCGTTAGAGCATCCGAGGAAACACTGCAAATGGGAGCCACCTGAAATTCCCATCTCCTTCCCTGAATACTTTCAGGGCCTTCCTGGTGGTGACAAGAACCATTTCTGTTCCTTAGAGACACATGACTTCCCAGCCTCACTGCTTGCAGGCTCTAATCATATTGGCTACCACAGTAGCTTCCAGATAAGTGGAAATATGATTAAACCAAGGAATAAAACTTCACTCATCCACACTGAAGAACAGAGGATGTGGGAAAGGAGGACAATGAGAGAAGACACACTGCATCCGGAGACAGTATGACAAGGGGTTAAGTTAGCTTTATTACTTTCAGTACTTACAGCAAATTAAATTTATATAAATACAAAATGGGAATTTTAGAAATCTGGTCTAAGCACTAAGTGAGAACCCATAAGCACTTAAACTATTTGCAAACATGAGAGTACCAAATAAGAGTCTTCTAAGTGCTTAAATAATGCATTCCTTAAAGTCGTTATTTCAAAGGTTTCCAAGCTGTGGTTGGTGGATCCCTGGGAGTCCCCAGTACCCTTTCAGGTATTCAGTCCACAAGCTCCAAACTATTTTCATAATAATAATAAGATGCTATTTTCATTTTCACCGTGTTGACATTTGCACTTGATGATTCCAACAAAGCAAAGGTAGGTAAAGCCTCTGGCTCCTTAGCACCAGTCAGGGTGGTGCCAGCACACTGCCCGGCAGCCACTGCATTCTTCCCTGCCCTGGACCAGCAGTTTAAAAAATGCCATTTTCACTTAAGGATATCCTTGATCAAGGAGCAGAAGCAACTACTTTTATTTAAATCTTGAGTCTTGAGTGCAAGTTGGTTAAATGCTCTGTGTGATGACAGTCAAATGTGGCTAAAGCACTTTTGTCACCACCAAGGCTTCGGGATCATCTCCGGGAGAGGCACTGTGTGACTGCCTGCCTTGCGAGCAGAACTAGCTCCCTTCTTCTCAATTTTTTACCTGGAAAAAACCACCATGAACTATGGGGTTATTCAGACTTGAGAATTTGGCAGAACATAAATGAAGTGAGCCTGTCACTCCAAGGGAAAGACTGACAGTACTTGTAACCACTGATAAAACTTGAACCTTAAGGCAAAAATTAGAGTTGTAGACAATCTGTAGCTGCCACTATGAGAAGCTTCCCAATACTCAGAGTTTTCTAAAGAGATCAGTGGTGACACTAAATTAACAAAGGGGTGTGTGTGTGTGCGTGTGCGTGTGCGTGTGTAATGAGTTGTGACGACATCTGGAAGACCTCATAATTCAGTGAAACAGTATTTTCCAAATGACCAATGCATGATATTGCAAAGTAATAAGGGTGAAAGATCCATTCTCAGGGCACCAATAGATTTTAATGCAACAACATGTTAAAAACAAGACAGCAGGCCCAAAATGGAGTCATTTGTGCTAAGCCCAAACAAAGACTTACTTAATTAGTTTCAGCTCTCCCAGAAATGGAACCTTAAACCAGTCGATCTGTCACCTCCTAATCAGCACTAGTCCGGTCATTTCCCTGACAGACCCCGCCATCCCTGCACAACCCAGCCACGTTTAGTCCAATCTGACTGCCCTGTTCCTGTTCCCTTCTGGCTGTGAAAGTCTTTCGTTTTGTACAGTTCCCTGGAGCGCCTTTCTACCTGCAAGAACAGATTCCGCCCAATTCATGAATCACTGAAGAAAGCCATTAAGGTCTTTAAAGTGTACTCATCTGAATTTTTTTTTTTAACAAGAGCATGAGAAGTTCATTGACAGGGTTTCAGATGTCACACTGCAACTAACTTTTAAGAAACTACCGCTTGTTGGTTTTTGGAGTAGTATCAAAGCAGAACAGCCATGACTGTCAATAGGCTAACATACGACGCCTCCCTTTTCTGACCTCATATGCGTAAGGCTGCATATTCTTCATACTCTTCCACTGAAGCAATGTATGGAACCAGGCTGAATGCAGAACCAGATGTGAAAATCCAGTTGTCTCCTCTCCAGCCAGACATCAAAGAGATTTGCAAAAACGTAAAACAGTGCCAGACTCCTCACTGACTTTCACTGTTTGTTTCATTAAAAACATGTTATATGCTCACATACTATAGGCTTTTAATTTTTATTTTAAAAGTAAATTAATAAAACTGTTCTTAAACTTCTCAGTTTTAATTTCCAATGCTGTAAATGTTGATAGCTAAAACCCACAGGAAACAAGAGCTCTTTGGGATCCTTAATAATTTTCATGAGTGTAAAGGTGTCCTGAGACCAAAATGCTTCAGAACCTCTGGCTGGACCTATGACTATTAACAAACTCTGTCTTTGTATTACAAAGGTGAATTTTACTCCATCTGGGATTCCTTAAGTCACAGCTACAGCTTCCCCATTAATGAATTTCTGCTGGACACACCCCAGTGTGTTTACCTATTTCACAGTCTCTCACAAAGGGGCATTTGAAAGATGATAAATTTTTCTTTTCTTAAGGCCTGAGGCCAATTTCTTAACATTTGTACTGTATTTCAAAACTAATGAGTACGTAATAAAATTTTCTTTGTTAGGTTTTGTCAAACAAGTAAGGCAGGTAGCATGGAGGGTCAGGTAGTTCTCAGAAGTCATCGGTAAACTAGCCCAACATCAGGGTGCTGGACTCAGGTGTGCGAGCCAGCACTCTCATCTGTACCCACCCACATGGTACACTTGTTCTACACCAACCAAGTTAAATCTGAAATCTGTGAGGAATCTACATTCGGATCATTATGAGGAGAGAGAGGAGATCAAATTAAAACAATCTGTACTGTTTCCCCAGTGTTAATGTCTCAATCTGAGAAACTCACCTCTTTATCAGCCTTTATAAGGTAGTAGAGAAGCAGGAACAGAGGGTCCATGGGTGTGGCAAAGTGAAGAAGACCTCCTATAGATTAAAAAGAGAATCTGATGTCTTGGAAAGACAACTTAGTTATTTCACCTTAATCCCAATGTGGAAATCATTCACTGAAAAATATATGTGAAATTTCAAATTCAGAAGTTCCTCTTACATGGGCCCAAGATCCTCTGTGATTCTCTCAAAAGACAGACTATGGCCTGTGAGATTTTACTCCAAAGAGCTTCAAACCTGCTCTCCATGGAGGAGAGCCAAGACACTGAACTAGATCTTTAACTTTCCATTTCTTCTTTAGAAATCATTTTTAACAGAGGCCCTCCTCTCCCCTCTCTCCCACCCCCCACCAAAAAAAAAGAAATAGCAGGGTTGGGAGGAATAAAGACAGAATGTGAACCAGGCAAATATCAGGAAACCTGTGTAAGTCCATCTACAAAGCTGCAGTGAAGTGTAATTTCCTGTGCTTTTGAGGACGAAGCCATGGGAAACCAATATTATTCCCTCTGTGGATGGCTCCTTCTGTGGACTCTGGGCTCATAACTCTAAACTGCCAATGACTCAAAGCTCAGAGGTCGTTACCCATTCTAGACACTGCCTTGTCCCCCATCCCCCCCAAAATGCAAGAGGGCAGGAGTCTAATAACAAGACTGAGCGTAAGAAACTGGAAACTGCAGTGAGATTAGTGGAGGTCTCCAGGCTGAAAGGAAAAAAGGCAACTCAAACCACCCCAGCCACGTGCTCCTCACTTTTCTTTACTATTCTCCCCTCCAAGCATCCCAGAGTCCTTCTTCCATGGAAGTGAACCAGAAAAGGTATTTCATCAAAAGAATAATAAACAATTCATTTATCTCCATACTTATTAACTTGGTTTCAGAAAACATGTATTTACTTTTAGTCTCTAACAGAGCAACCTACCTATACAGCCAAGAAATTCTAACCCTAAATTACATATATGAATCCATCTCATAGTACGTAAAAAAAATTAAGGATATAATTTTATATGATGACATTAGTTGATTATTTTTTTAAAAGTAGAAGTTTATGAAAACAACCTATCAGAAGCTCTAAGTTCAGTTTATACATGGCATCCACTGTATTCAGAAATTAGAAACAGGTTTCTCAGTCTGAAGACAATATCCTGGTGGCCATTCCTAAAAACAGCTCTTTCTTCAAAGTTAAGTTTAAAAAGAAGATAATGATGAAAAAAGCAGGTACCTTTGCTGTGAACCAAAAACTATAAAATATAAAGTCTATTAAAAAAAAAAGCAGGTACCAAGTCAGACAGTCCAGAAGAGATGATCAATCACTGCCTCCCAGTATTTTCCAGTTTCATCTGGATATTACTGTGTCTACCCAGCGAAACCGAAAGGCAAGCATATTACATTAGAAGTTGGAACTCTCATATGTTGCCAAAAGAAAAACAATAAAAGGGAACAAGAAAAAGGAATGTATACTTGGCACCTACCAAGCTATATATATACACAGACTACCATTGCATTTTGGCAACTGAAAACCACTTCACATCATCTCCTGCACACAGGTATATGAAATTCATCACAGGCAATAAACCTGTCTTCTGAACGCCTTAGAAGAAAGGCAAAGTGGCCTTTCTACCTTAGCACTACGTGGCGACACAGACAATCAAAAGAAAGCGGAGAACTTAGAAAGCAACAGAAAGTACTCACTGGAAACAATGAGACCAGGCAGAGGGAACTCAGAGTGCCTCAACCATCCCATGACTCCCGACTCCCTCCCACAGCCTCAGGGCTACACGTGGTATCCTTCCTTCCCAGTCAGCGCTGCCTCCAAATCAAGGAACTCCAAAAGAAACAGAAATTGGGTGTTGGGGTTGTGAGCGTGTGTGTGAGGTGTATGTGTGTGTGTGTGTGTGTGTGTGTTGGGGGTGGCAGTAGTAATTTATATGAAAAAGCATTCAAAAATATCTTTTTCTACTCTATTCTATTTTAGAAGCTTTGTCAGTATCCATTTGCAAGGAAATGCATTGGTGGTATAAGAGTGAGCGTGTTGCCTTCTGTTTGCAAGGAAATAAGATGTTAAAAACCTGAAGATCTTCAGAAGTGGCTGACAGAAGAGCAGAGTTTCCAGTCAACACAATGTGCCCTCCATGGAACAAAGTCATCTAACTTCTTACTTGGAATGCGTCAGTGTTTTAGGAGACAAATCAGAGTTGGTAGTTAAAAATTTCCTACCATCTACGACACAAAGGTATTGATCTAAATTTTCTCAAACGATCTTTCCTTTCTCTTTGATTAAACCCTGCTCTGATGCCAATGAAGAAAGAACCACGGACCAGACTCCAAACCAGGCGATTAGACCGAGACTCCCATGCACAAAGGCTGGAAAAGCTAGGGGGTGTGTTTAGTTAATGGAAATGTATACACTGGTCACTTACCTGATTGAACTGATTCATTTATAAACCAAGAATGGTTTTTTTCCTTGAAAACTTTTACTTCAAACAGCTGCGGTAGACACATATTGAACAAGTAAATGGCTCCTTCCCCTGTTGAGACAAATCTGTTTTTTATTTGTAAGTTTTCACACACACACACACACACACACACACTCAAAAGACTACCTAATAGTTCTGAGGAATGTTCCTAATACGAACATAAAGATACAGAGATACAGTCTCTACAAAGTGAGTCCAGGGAGGCTTGTAGCTATTACATACAGATGCTTCTTTTCCAGCTCCATCATCCTCATTGAACTTAGACCAATAAATACAAAAGTGCAGATCATTTATCAACTGCCATAAAGCCTCTCATTGAGTCCTCCATCAGATCAGGAAGGAAAACCCATTCTTAAACTATTCAAACCTACTGGCTCAGCCAGATGGACTGTGCTGGCCTGTGGGCCAGTCTCCAGGGCAGCATGCGCCCCCAACACGGAGGGACGGAGACACCCCACAGGCCTGCACAGCTGAGAGGCCAGGGCCTTCCACAAGAGCAACACACTGTAAGCTGTGAAGAGTGAGGAAAGCCACGCTCAACTGGATGAAAATTTCCCTTTCTTTCTCAAGATAAAAAATAAATACATAAAAAATGTTTAAAAAGGCTGTAAGGGGATGGAGGCTGTGCACATCTCCATGAATCTGAATGAATCCCTTCAACGCACAAATTTTTTTCCTAAACGCAGCACAATCAAGGACCCTGAGTTTGAATCTATCTCAGCCACATGCTGGGTGTGTGCCCTTGGGGAAGCTATGTAATCCTTTCGGTACTTCCGTTTCCACATCTGTAAAATGGGAGCAATACCGAATCTACCCCCTAAGGTTTTTGTAAGGATTAAGAAGACAGAACACGTACATGTAAAGTTCCTAACACGGTACCTGGCACATGAGTAAGTGCTCAGCCAAGGCTAGTCTTTATTTTTCCATAGTCAGTAGAGCAAAATGTTGTCCACAGACATTTAGATGAAACAAGTTTTAGAAGAAGCCTGGCTTTTTTGGTACCTTTTGTTAGAGGCTTTAGAACCTTTACTACTACCTGAAACTTCTCCTGAAAGCACATTTCTCACAACTTAGCCTTATGTGCACCAAGGAGTTCCAAGTACGACAGCTGACCAATGACATTCCATTTCATTTTGAGGAAGAAAAAACTGGAAGAAGCCAGAATTTTTGCCTCTCTTGTGGCTTCTATTTGTGTGTCTGCCCGACAACAACAACCACAAGGCACCACCTGCTGGGTTACTCTTGCTTTCACTCCTCAGGATGACAGTCGCCAGGAGAGCGCGCCGATCTGCTAAGTGTCAGATACCTACTCAAAACCTTATCGAATTAATAATAATCTTATAACACAAATCTTATAAAATAAACTAACGTGGAAACAATCCTACACAGAGATAAACAATATCACCAATATTACTATATACTTACAGTATATTTTAATATTTTTAACTAAAAATTATAAGACAAAACAAAATACACTGACTATAAAGTCAAAATTATTCCTGATAAAATATGCATCTCTTCAAAATACAATGTTTTTAAAGCAAAAAAATCACCCCCTGCAGGAAAAAAAAATACTATTTTTTTCGACAGGACAAAATAAGAAAAGTACAGCTAAAAATGAAACCACTCAAAATCTTGGCGTGTCCAGTAAAAGCATTCCTGTTTTTTTAAACTTTGATTATTTATTTTACTTTGTAACATATAATGAATATAAATGGAGGCTAAGAAAAGTTGGCTTAAGAAGGCCAAGGAAAATTAATCTGCTTTCAAAGAGAAACCAAACACGCTACCTTTTTTTGTTTTGCCAGCATTTCTGATGAGTGAACAAGTCTATGGATTAAAATTAAGAAGAAATAAAAAACACTTAGGTTGAGTGAATTATCTTAGAAGACTGGTAATGTCATTAGCTTGCTTTTGTCACCATGTGATGCCACTTATGTTTAAAAGCTATTCAGGAAAGACAAAACATACAAAGACAAATAAATATACACACTTTTCAGTAACGATGTTTAAAAAAGTGTTCAAGTTACCATCATCAGAGGAGAGTGGAGGGGAGGAGAGCTTACCTGAACATGGGTTAACCAATTTCACAAACATAAGCCCAGTTTTCATCTTCTCTGCAGCATCTTTTAAATATTCTGAAAAGAAACGATGAGTTTGTAAAATTAAAAGATACTTGCTTTGCTGCTCACTTGACTGTTTTCCTTTCCTCTATGTGATTTTTCTTTTCAAAAATTTCAACTCTGTCGCTTTCAAGCTGTGTGACCTTGTGCAAATTATCTATAAGGTGTAGTGGAATTTTAGGTAGTTTTAATTTGCTTCTTTTGAGAAGTGACGAGGAGCAGGACTCAGGTGCCTGGGTTGTAACCTTGGCCCAACTACCTGGTAGCTTTGTCACCCCAGGCAAGGTTCTCATGTCCTGTTTTGGTCATCACATTTATCAAATGAAGATGACGACATACATACTTGCCTTCCAAAGGATTAAATTAGGTAATCTGTGAAAGTTCTTAACATATTCAGACAAAAAGAAACACATAAATGACAACACTTATTACTATTATTATTTTTATTGTTATTATTATTATGAAATAGAACACTTTAAAAATAAGTACTTATTGGACATTCACATTTTTTGCCCCTAAGTATCATTGTCTACTCATGTCCTCCGCGCATTTCCCTGGTAGGGCATTCATCTTCCTTTCACCACTCTATGGAGTCTTTGTACAGTAAGGATATCTTATCGATGCTGTTTTTAATGATTATTTTGCCACTTGGAAAATCTAAAAATCTTTATGTAATCCCATCAACATGTCCCTTCATGGCTGTACCATTTGTGTCACACTTAGAAAAGCCTTCTCTTCCTCAAGATTATGTGAATTGCCCATATTTTCTTCTAACATTTTTACATTATATTTAACCTTTTTGGAACACATCTATGTATAAGATATGAGGAGACATCCAACTTTATTTCTTTTTCAGTGAGTTGTCCAGCTGTCTCAAGGCCATCTACTGAACAACCTAGGCTAAATGTTTAAAACACATTTAGGAGTCTGTCTATGGGCGTTGAATTTTGATCCTCTAATCTGAGGCTATGTTAGCATTAGGACTTCAATATTTTAATTACTGTAGCTTTAAAATACATTTTAACATCTGGTGAGTTAGGTCCTCTCATGATGTTTCCTCTACAATATTCTACTGTCAAAGTTTAAATCATGTAGATTAAAACATAAAAACCATGACAATTTCATTTATAACATCCTCATACATTTTGACTGGCATATTCATAGAGCCCATTTAAAGAATTTCTCTCCAAAAGGAACCATGGGATTCTGTTTAATAAGGGAGCAAAGCAACAACCTACCAAGAGCAGATCAGAAAGCTTTGGGGAAGGAAACGTTTTAGTCACTTTTATTTCTACAGCCCTACTCCCTTTACCAGATCTTCATAAACGTATAAAACCAGCACGTTTAGAAATTGGCTTACTCATACATGGCATAAGTATAACTTTTTTCTTAATAGGGACATTAACTATATTAAGAAAACAAAACCCTAATTTTGAGGTCTCCACCTGCAACCAAATGGAGTTAACAGAAACCCAACTTACCCTCCTACCTGAAACAACCGAAAAACAAAAACAAAAAAGACAAAATATGCAAAACAACTATTTTCAAGACACTGGAGGTGGAGCACACAGGACAGTGATCTCTGAGATGGGAAACAAATGAGATGAGTCCTGCAATCACCCAGCTTACTGCCCTGAGAGAGTTTCCAGGCCATGGCGCAGAATGAGAGAGCCCAGGTGAAGCCTGGCAGACTCCCTGAGTTGAAGAGATGGGAGAGTTCTCAAAACACCATGGCTAGAGTTCACAGGTCAGCACACAGGAAAGGAGAGAGCTACATAGAAAGAAAAGCTCAGAGATCTGCAAAGGGTACTGCTTGAGTATTCAACATAGTCCTGATCAGTGCATAGTGATGCGTATGATATAACCACCTAAGGGCTAGGAGAAAAACTGCTGGACAGATTAGAGGGAACAGTACCCACATTCACTCAGGGCCCTGGATGGGGCCTATTCCTAGACAGACTGGAAAACGTCATAATTCAGGGGGAGTTGGGTAGAGAACTCCAAAGGGTCTTGGCTCAGCAGTAGGGAACAAACAGCCCTAGACTAAATATTGCTCTGGTCTCACCAAACTAATTTTAAAACGAAGACCTAAAAGGATCAAACTGTTTCCATGTACCTCCGCTGTGTCCCAGAATGAAGTTCAAGATTATTTACAGAAATACAAAAATATTCATCCTCCAAAAAGGTAAAATTCAAAATGTCTGGAATCTAATCAGATATTACTAGGCATTCAAAGAAGCAAAAAAATATAATCCATAATGAGAAAAATAAACCAATTACTGAGAGAGGAGTATTAATATTAGACATAGATGTTAGAATGAATAGGCAAGAGGATTAAAAACAGTATTCTTCTTTTGTAAAGTACAAAAAGTTAAGCAGACACATAGAAGATTTTTTAAAAAGACCCAAGCTGAGATTTAAAAAATACATCAGATGTGATTAACGGTAGAAGAAAAGATGAATGAACTTGAAGACACAGCAATAGAAACTATCTAAAATGAAAAAATAGAGGAAAGAAAAGAATTAACACATCTTTAAAAGAAAAGAAAGAAAACATGATGAAGCTGTAGAAAATACTCTCGAAAAGTGAAGGTGATCAATAGGTCCTTTTAGACACACAAGGGATGAAAGAAATAATCACTAACGGACCCTCATGACAAAGAATGCTAAGGGAAGTCCTTCTGGTCAAAGGAATGTGATACCCCATGAAAATATGAATCTAAATGAAGGAATGAGGAATACTGGTAATGGTGACTGCTGGGGTAAATAAGAATTTTTCCTATTATTTAAATCTCTTTAAAGATCATAGACAAAATAACAACAATTATTTATAAAATAATTATAAAAAGAACAACAAAAATAACAACAATTTAGTGCAGGGTTTGTAACATACGCATAAATAAAATATATGACCACAGCAACATGAAGGCCAGGAAGGGAGAAATGAAAACATTCCACTGTAAGGTTCTCATACTCTATGTGGAGTGGTGTTAGATCACTTGAAGGCAGATGCAGTCATTTAAATATGTGCAGTAAACCCTAAAGCAGCCAGTAAAACTATAAAACAAACAAAAAATGCTGTCACTAGTAAGACAACAAAGGAGATGAAATAGAATCATAAAAAATACTCGATTCACAATTCAAAGGAAGGCAGAAAGGGAGTGAAAGAAGGACAAAGAACAGAGGAGACAAATGGAAAACAAACAGCAAGAAGACAGACTCAAACCTAACCAGATCAAAAACCATATTCAGTGCAAAAGGTGGAAATTGTCAGACAGGATAAAAAAGAAAGAAAAAATTACATGTGCTATAAGAAACACATTTTCTACATAAAGACGCAAGTAGATCAAAGTAAAAGGAAGAAGATAGAGTGTGCTTAACATGCTAACACTAATTAAAAGAAGGATGAAATGCTTCTGCTAATAACAAAGAATACTATCAGGGATAAAGAAGGTCATTTCATAATGATAGAATGATCATGAGGAAATAATCCTAAATGTTTACGATCACAAACACAGAGCTTCAAGATATACAAAGTAAAAACGGACAGAACCCTCTGCCCCTTCTCTCACTCTGGCAACCACTAATCTGTTCTCCATCTCTAAAATGTTGTCATTTTGAGAACGTTGTATAAATGGACCCATACCGATTTAATTTTAAGAAGTCTTTTAAGACTTTCCTTTCTGCAACTTATAAAAATGTAAAGGGTCAAGTTTAGCACTGTTAAAAACCTTTCCACAAAACTAAAACAGGTTGTGGTTTTCTCTCCTTTCCACGTCTGCTGTTTCTCACTTTTCCAGCATCACATTTCTTCATTATGTCTCAAGGCACAGAAAAGGTGACTTCTCTCTTTTTCAGCAATACAGCCTTTATTTTATTTCTGTATGACAGTAAATCTGTCAACTGTAACTTGGTGAATTATTATTGATTTTTTTTCTTTTTTTTAATAGAAAATTTTGGTTCCAGTGATTCTTGCCAGTACTCCTTCAGCTTTCCCATTCCTCTGAAACTTAAAATAACCAAATTTTACAAATAACTAGAATCTAGGAAAACATATTTTTAATAATTATTCAAGGAAAGCGGTGTTTCTATTTTTCCCAGGAAGGGCAGTAAGTCCAGAGGATTAGCTATAGCCTAAAACGTCAAACTATAAGAACTTCGGAATTACTAAGTACAAATAAATACTGACATTAATGTGTTCTGCTGCAAATGCCAGTGTTCTCGGAAATATGCTTTGAGATATATTAGTGTAGATAACACTGAAATGTTTATGCAGTAGGGAAAAAAAGTATCTTTTCTCATATTGAGCCAACAAAACAACTTGCTGTTGGTCTCAGTTTTTCAACACAGAATTCCAAGTGGGATGCTATACTCTTTAACTATAGAATGCATTTCAAAGTTAATCTCTCCTGCCAACTTCATTCATTCATTTGTTAATTACTGATTAGTATAAATAGACCCAGCCCCTACCCATGGGCCATGGGGAGCTTTTGGATATTCCATGGAAGAGACAGATATCGATCGAATCAAATAATCACGTAACTGTAGACTGCAAATGTAACAACTGCTAAGAAAAAAAATACATGGAATATGAGACCTTATGATAGAGACTATAACACAGATAAGGAGGTCTGGGAAGGCTTCCTGTGTCTAGCACTGGTTGAGTTCTTTGCTTTGATGGCTAAGGAGTCAAAGGTAGTATGTATTTACTTTACCAGCTAAATATTTAGTTGGCTCCTGGGCCAAAGCAGTCCACAAGCGGGCTTTGCTTGATATGCATATTTTTTAAAAATTTGAATTAGGTGCTAATATTTGGAAATCAGGTGATTTTACATGAAGTACAGACGTCAGATATATCTTCCCTAAATATGAAAAAAAATTATTAGGAAAAGATTTTGCCTTGCACAATCAAAACACCTGGCAGCAACGAATTGATTTTGTCAAATGGGAACTACCACTGTCTACCCTTAGTCCTCCAAGGCATCTGTGCACTCATCGCATGGCTGGATGACTGT